ATGGGGAAGGGAATCTAAGACCACTGGAGGCATGGCAGGATGGGACCCTGGATGGGATTGGGCAGGACAGAGCCCCGGGCTGTGTGGCCACATTTGGTCTGCCCCTGCCAGTGCCGCCCAGCTGGGGGCTTAGAGCCTTCCTGGGGCAGGGTGCTTGGTCCAGCTGTGTTTGGTGTGGACAGAGTGGTCTTCGGGTAGAGGGTATGCCTATCTTGTGTTTTAGTCTTGCTCTCACTGGAAAGAAGGAGGAGGGCAAGAAGCCTGGGTACTTGAGAAGGTGGTTCTGGAAGCGTTGAGCGGTACCCCGTTTTGATGGGGTAGCAGCCTGCACTCCCCCTCCTCATGTGAAAAGGCAGGACTCACTCTTGCAGCCGGGGTTGTCAGGCAGAGGTCTAGATAGAGGAGCTACTCTGGGGTGTTGTACATCAGGTGCTGGCCTTCAGGGAGACTCAGGTGGGAGTGAGGAGCCAAACCCCGCAGCCAAATTCAGCAGAGAGGTTCAGAGTGGCCGGTGACTCTGAAAAGAAAAGACGGTCAGGAACTGGTCCAGCAAACCTCACGTGGATCCAGAACAGACCACTAAAATCATTTGTGAGTTCTCAGAAAGGGAAGCAGAGACAAGTGTTATCATTCTGGGTTCTCTAAAAAACAAGGCAGAGCAGACGAGCCTAGTCTTAAATTCCCACAGTCACTAGCAGAGTACCTGAGGACGATGCTGTAGGTCCAGCACCGCCCTTGACCAACTCCTTACCTCACGGAATTGCTGAGAAATACGAGCCAGATGATAGGGTGGCGGGGCAAGTTTACAGCTTGTCAGCTGATGGAAATTCAGACACACTTCTGGTGCTGTGCCCAGTCTCCCTGGCCTTCTTGTAGAGAACATTCCGTCTGGGAACTGGATGGCTCAGGTGGTTCAGCAGGAGACAGCGGAGGAAGAAGCAGAGTTTGGTGCACTGTGAACACTGCCTGAATCAACAGTACGATGTTGATGAAGGGCCTACCAGCCCCCACCTGGGAGGTTCTGTTTCACCAGCTTAAGTCTGAAGGACACTGACTTGAGGATGGCGTGACAGAGAGCGTGATCACAGGGGAGCCTAATATTTTGCCGTGGCACAGAACTTGAGGGTGCTCGAATAGAGGTTAGCCCCTCTATTCCTTGCAGGCAGAAGGCAGCCAGATCCGTCACCTTTCTCGACGGCAGTGTGGGGACACTTGTGCTTTGCTCAGAACGAGCCTTAGCAAATATTTGCCCAAATGATTGCATATGGGAGAAGATACATTTTCCCGGAGACCTGGCAGTCTGATTATGAGGCTGCGTAAATTATCGAATACTGAGGACAAAGTCACCTTCTATCTCCCTAATTAGGCAGCATTGATTTTTTTTTCCTTAAAGGATAAGTGATTTGAGAACCACTGTTTTTAATCACATTAGTCTCACAGAAAACAATTTTTTAACAGATATTAAGATAGCTGTTGCTCCCAACAAAATGATAAGAGTCGGGGGTATAGTCTTCGAAGTGAGATTATCAGGTGGTTTGAATGCCAACTCCACCATCTCCTGGACTGTGGCCTTGGACATACTTAACCTCCTTCGGTCTCAGCTTCCACATGTGTAAGATGGGGATGGAAATATTACCCGCCTCATAATGTTAACGGGAAGATTTTGTGAGTGAATATATGTCAGGTCCCACAGAGTCCCTGGCAAAGAGTAAGTGGCCAGTGAGTGGATCAGCTGCACAGCTGCAAAGCTCGTGAAATATAATCAGAGAAAACTCTGCTCTCCTGCTATGCAGACTCTGAGAGACCTTGTTCCACTGTCTTCCCACACCGAGGACTTGTTTGTCCTTTGAACATGACTTACATCTTTTGATTGCTGGATTTCATCCTCAAGTGATCTATTTTCTAGAAGAGCTCGCATTATGGCTCTTCCTGAATGTCACCTACACAACAGCCCATCCTGCCTGCTCTCAGGATGGCAGAGCCCGGATTTGGTTCTTTTATCCACTGTTCTCTTTCATAATGCCCATAAACCCTGATTTCTCTAAGACAATAACGGTGATCATGTTTCCCAGCTGGTCCTTGTGCTATCTCGAGATGTCACAGAGTGAGGTTGTAATGTCTGGAGTCGCTGCAGACATTTTATGACCATGAGGAAAGTCATCCAACCTCTTACGGATGACAACTCCAAAAGATGGAAAGACCTTCAAAGAAGGATGATGTCACTGAGCCCCTGAAATAACCAGCTCCAAAACTGTCTCGCCTCTGTTCTTGGAAGGGAGACTATAAATCCTCATTGTTCAAGCCACCAAGACATTGGATTTTCTATTACTTGTGTTTGAAAACATGCCAATTCATGCACGAGTGCTATATTTCCTGAGGGCTTTCATATATGGGAATATTAACTTCAGTGAGGAGAAATATCTTGGGTCACATTTCTCCCCAAAACCTTTGTAAGTGTTGCTACCTTTTCATCTGCCATTGAAAGCTACCGTGGGGACATCTGAGGCCACCAGATCCCCCTACCGCTTCTCCCTGAAGTTCAATCACACATCCAGATCTTTGGCGTTGGTTGTTCTATACCAGTTTGTCCTGGAATACAGTGAGAACATTTGATCAGCAGATTTAGTTCTCTTCTTTCTTTCTTTCTTTCTTCTTTTCTTTGAAAAAAAATTAATATTGGAGGACTCTTTTTTTAAGGAATAGCAACTAACCCCTTTCTAATCGCTCAAATGATGCAGTCTTTTTCCTGTACATTCGCTGTAGTTGATGCAAGCTTTTCCTGTAAGTCGGTAATTCAGATGAATTGTACCCAGTCTGCTTTTTGGTCTTTCTAATTTTGGTTTCTCTATTGAATATTTCTGATTTTGATTTGGTTGCCTTAGCTGTATCATCTCTCTCTTCTCATTGTGCTGCTTTTTTTTTTCTCCCAAACCTTATTCTATTAAGTTAGGGTTCTTACTAATTTATTCTATAACATGAGACACATATGAAGAATTTTCTTCTATTTGGTTACATTTTCTTCCAGACTAGGTTCTTCATCTGTCTCACCCATGCCATAATTCTTTTTTTTTTAAGATTTTATTTTATTTGAGAGAGAGAGAGAGAGCCCGCGCACGAGTGGGAGTGGGGAGGGGTAGAGGCATAGGGAGAAGCAGACTCCCCGCTGAGCAGGGAGCCTCAGTCCCAGGACCCTGAGATCATGACCCAGGCCAAAGGCAGATGCTTGACTGAATGAGCCACTCAGGCGCCCCTCTTTTGTTTTTGTTTTTGTTTTTTTCCCTTCCCCTGTTACTAACGTCATACTTTTGGATAGTAGATTTATTGCTTCTATCTTATTTAAATCTAACACGGATTGCTCTTTGTAAATCTTCTGTTCAAATATAATGTGAGTAAATTCTCCTTGACTGCTTTCTCACCATATCTGAATGAGTTTGAGAGCTGGAAGATTGCGTTTTTACTACTTTTCTATGACCTGTATACACACTGAGGATTAGGGCTGATCCACTGGATGTGTGCAAGTCCTGGACTCTGCTTGCTCCTGAGATTCTGCTAAACTCCTGCCACCATCCCCCACCCTTGTTAGGAGCCCACCCTGTTTCTGTGACAAACTGTCCTTGGACTTTGAGTCTTTGCCTCTATACAGTGCAAAGTCCTAGAAAGTGGCAAGCTCTAGTGATTTTTCCCAGCTCTGGTCAGGTCCTGTGGGCAGTAGGGGCTGTTTTCTACTCGTGATAGTTTTGTCTCACCTGGACTTCCCCAGGTAGCTTCCTTCTCATCTCACTTTGCAGATTCATGTCTTCCTTGTACCAAAAAAAGCATTAGTGAGAAATCTTGGTATTTTGTCTACTTGGTTTCCTTCCCTAGTGGGGATTTTTGGGGAACGGGGCTGAGATTCAGATGCCATTCTCCACTGCAGACTTCTGTTTCACTGAGCACAATTTTTTGAAGCTTATGGCACAGAGTTGTACTTAATTTTTTGTTTAGTTGCTCTTTTCTTTTGTTGTTGTTATTCCTGATTTTTGCTCTTCTTTTGCTCATTTCATTAGTAATCGTGGGAGAGAGGTTCTGTGATCCAGAATCACGCTGTCATTTTTATGTGGATGCCTTCTCCGTGCTCTTTCAACGGCATTGGTTCTGAATATATATTTCCGTAGGAATTGCAGGTTATAAAATTTGCAGATTTACTAAAGATGAAGAAAGAAGGGCAATGAAAGCAGACACTCATAGTGACTTGCTAATAACTAACATCCACATGGCATTTTCCATTTACAACACACTAGCTCCTGATCTCACTTTCATTTCGCCCCAGAAGGGCAGGACTGCTTCTGCCCTGTATCCCCAGAACCCAAGTCTGCGCTTGGCCCGGAGGAGAAGCCCAGTCAAGTTCTGAACCAATGAATGACTGTTATCCCGTTTTACAGATGGGAAGACTGAGGCTATAATCAAGGCCCTTGTCCAAAAGGGGGCAAACAGGGAAGAGGGAAGACGGCGTGGAGGACAACGAGCCGGCGGAAGGGACCCGGGCTGGACCCCGGGGACTGGTCCCTGGGTGGGTCCGCTGGGAGGTCAGCCCCTCACCCTGGTCCCAAGCAGGCGGCAGCTCCCTTCCGCCAACCAGCATCCCGCCGCGCCAGGGCGCGGTTACCACGGAAACCAGGCAGCAGCGCAGACGCGTGGAGCTGGGGGCGGGGAGGGGGGGCGGGGGGAGGGGGCGGTGACGCGCCCGGCCTGGGGTGAGCCGGCACTGCGCAGGCGTAGCGTCTCGGTTGCTAGGTTCCGCCTCGCGTCCCGCTGAGTGGCTACAGGAAGGTCCCCGAGCCTCCGGTGGCCAAGGGAACGTTCGAGTTCACCTATCTGTGCCTGCGCGCTATCGCCTTTTCCTGCCCAAAGCGAGAGGATAGCCCGCATCGCCGTCCCCCTCCTCCAGAAGGACCTCTCCGTGGACGCGCCCGGTGGTGTCCCGACGCCTGCAGCCGGCCGCCCTTCGGAGCGAGACGGAAGAGCTTCCAGGCGGGCGAGGGAAAGAGAGAAAGTAGCCAGCCATGTCGAACGCGTAAGTGATGGGCTGCGGGCTTATAGACCCGGGTGGCGGAAAGAGGGCTTGCTCTGCGGCTTTTCCTTTTTCTTCTCTCCCCTCCCCTGCTTCATTTTAGCAAATGAAGGCAGGCCCAGGATAGAGTATCAGGTTCTTGTGGACAAGGAACGGCATGCGCCTAGGTCTCCCTCCTCCCGGTCGCACTGCCTCTCCCCCCGTGGAGATGAGCGCCCGTGAGCTCGTGGCTTATGCCCTTGATGCTGTCTTATCGAAACAGCAGCACCTTTAGGACATTCGGCACATCGCCTGCTTTTTTTGTTCGTCTTTCTCAGTTGTAAGTGGATTGCTTTGTGGAAACACCCAGGTTCCGCATTAAGGAAGGAGCTTGAGGAAGCTTTATGGCACCACTCTGCTTTTCACAAGGAACCGCAGTCGGGCGGTAGGGGTACCGGAAAGAGTGTTTGCCTAGCGCTGCGCTGTTCCCCAGCACTCGTTTCGTATGGTCTTCATCAGGACCATTTCGGACGTGTTATGGTGCTGATCCTGAGGGCGCTGTGCTGCCTGTGTGAGATACGGCAGCGCATGGGATCGTCACAACACCCCATAACGCAGGACCTGTTAATAGGGTTGGTCCCATCTTACAGCTGAGGAATCGGGCACAGAGAGGCTAAGTGGTTCATACCGAGCAAGCGGGCGGTGCCATCCAGCCTGCAGGCACGCTCTTACTAACCCTATTGGTAGGTGAGGAAATGACAGCAGAGAGATCCGGGGCTTGCTGAGATGCTGCAGCTGGGGAAGATAGGGAGCTCAGTTTGGGGCGTGCTGAGTTGGAAGGGCCTATTGGAGATCAAGTAGGCAGTTGAATATTCGAGCCTTGAGTTCAGGAGAGATGTGTCTGTGTATGAAATATAAACTCGACAGGTGTTGGTATGTAGATGGACTTTACTGACACAGCATGAGTGTAGACAAAGAGAGAAGAGGTCATCAGGTGGTGAGAGACTGGGGAGCAGACACCAGCAAAGGGATCAAAGGTGTGACCCGTGAGGAGGGAGCAGAATTGCGGCGTTCCGGAAGCCGGGTGGACAGGAAGCAATGTTTCTGGGAGGAGGGAGGGACAGACTCAAGCACTGCTGAGACAAGTCAGAAGAGAACCGAAGTGGGCCGTCCATTTAGCGCGGCGGGGTCCGCTGGTGCCCTTGACCCGCGTGGGGGATGGAGTAGGAAGGTTGCTGAGAGTGGGAGGGGACAGGGGGAGAGACATTTTTTAAAGGGGTTTTGCTATAGCTGGTGCAGGGAAATGGGCCCAGGGGAGAGATTTTTTTTTAAAGATAGGAAGCAATGGCATATTTCTTTGCTAAAGGAAAGGGGATGGTGAGGAGGAGGAGGGAGTAGTGGGGTGACGTTGCTAGTGGGAGCATGAGCTCCAGCAGGTGGCTCGAGGTCTTGGCTTTGAGGGAATTGAGGAGGGTAGAGTCTGTCGGTAAATGCTATTCTTCAGTAGACACCTTGTGGGGTCCTGGAAAGATGATGGAGGGAGTAGACGGGGGGACAGTGAGGGGCAGTGGTGATGCCACCTGATGAAATGAGCTGCAAAGCTAGGGGATGGGGCAGGAAGGACGACCTGGAAGCGGCGGTGAGGAGCAAGGACTTTGACCCCACGCCCCGACAGTGGTTGGAGGAGTCTGGCAGAAAGGGAGCCTCTCCTGTGAGGGCTGCAGGGAAGGACAGCAGGCCTCCCTTAAGCAAGAAGCCCAGAGGAATATTCTGGAAAGAGGACAAACAGCTACATAGTATTGGACGAATTTGAAGATTTATCCTGTATAAAATATCTTGGGAAGAATTCCCATTTTGCAAGATTCAGATTTTTCGTTGAAGCACGTGGTATGTCTGAATAGTCCAGTCTTCCCTTCCCCCAACCAGCCAGCTACAGAAAATCTGCCAAGCCATAGAAATAACAGTCCAACCGTTTTCAACGGTCATATTCCGTCTTCTCTACCCACAATCCTCCTGACTTCAAAACCAGCAACATTTCTTGGTCGTATGCTCAAATCTGAAACCAATCATGTACTTAAAAAAAAAAAAAATTCTAAGTAGTCTCATGGATAAATTACCACCTTCCCTTTACAAGGTGCCTTTCAAACTTCACGAACCCTTTCACAGCTGTTATCCCACCCCCCAGTAATCCCCGGGGGTGTCGAGAGAGATGTCCTCATCCAGATTCGCCACTTGAGGAAGTGAAGGCACGAGGAGGCTGTGGCCAGTCTGAGACCCGCTACCTCAGGAGACAGCTTCTGATTCTAAACGGCACTTTTGCCTTTAAAACCCTCCTGGCCAGACCCAAGGAAAATACAGACACGTATCCACACACACATGTGTACAGGGGCCTCATTCACAACAGCCAGGAGGCAGAAGCAGCCCCCATGCCCATCAGCTGAAGCGTGGGCCAGAGACTGGTGTATGCATGCCTGGACCATATTTGGCAGCAAGAAGAAGCGAGGTTCTGATGCGTGCCTCCGCACGTGTGCACTTTGGAAACCTTGTGCTGAGTGAAAGGAGCCAGACCACGAGGGCCACCTACTATGTGGGCCCATTTATGTGAAATGCCCACAGCAGGCAGACGGATACAGAAATTAGATTAATGGTGGCCAGGGGCTGGGAGGAGCGGGGGCAGGGGCTCCTCTTAGGGAGATGAAAATGTTCTCGAGTTAGACAGAGGTGGTGGTGGTGAATATACTAAAGCCCACTGATGGGTGGGTATAAAGGATAAAATTAGGGAATGTGAATTATATCTCAATGATGTTCTTATTTAAAAAAAAAAAAAAACTTGTCCTGCCACATCCCAGGTCTCACCTAATGTTCCCGGGCACTGGCCCAGCAGAAGGATGCAGGGACCGAGGGGCAGCGAGGTGGGGCGGGGCCCAAGCCAGGCGGGGACTGCACGCAGGGGCAGTGGGGGCTCCCCAGGCTGGCCAGGCTGAGACACAGTGGCCAGGCCCCGGCAGTACAGAGACTGGTGGGGCTGGGGCCAGTGGGCACACAAGGAGGAGCGTCAGGACAGCAGGGAACCTGGAAGGCAAGGACGCCAAGGTCAGTGTCCAGAGGAAAGGGTGATGATGCGGGGTGGGCCGGCTCACATGGCTGCCTGATATTTCCCATCACCCAACGACCCATGCCCGGTCGCTCCAGAAAAGCAGCAGGTGAGGAAGGAAGAGGCTGCCGCCCAAAGGCAGGACTTGGAAGGCTCAAGCCTCCAGGAGAATCCCCAGCCCAGAGTTCCAGTGAGGGCTCAGCTCAGCCATGGCGCTGGAGGGGTTCCTGCCTCTTTGACCCTGGGCGGAAGCCAAGGAGTGCACTGAGCTAGGGCAGCAAGTCTTCCCCGGGCTGGGTCTGTCTCAAAGCGGAGTCCAGGCATTCCTAAATTCTGGGTGCGTTCCGTCCACCAGTGTGCGTGCGGTTGCCCCTGGTGGAAGCATCCTCTACGCAACATCCCTTGATCACGACGGGTGTGGGTCTTTGTGGGATCCAGGTCACCCCACCTGCAGCCCACAAGGCAGCCTCCATGGGGTCTTGCACAGCCTTAGTGCTTACTGGCACGTTCAACGCTTTGAAGTCCGATAAATGCCCCTTACTTTTCATTACTGACCCCAGCTCCACATTTAGAAGTTATGACTAGATTTATTTATACAGACTCCAGTATATCATGCCTGTTCTGATCCTCCGCAGCTCGCATTCTAGAATTTTCTTCAGTTACATCTTGTGTGGCTCGCACCATATTCATTCTTAGATGTTTAATCGGTAGCGGGAAAGGGGTTCCATTTTTCGTATTTTTCTCTGTGTTCAGTGTTTGTGGCTTTTACTGATGTCTTACAACTTTGCTGCACAGTTGACTACTTATATTTTGTTACCGATTTCCTTGGATTTTGCCAGTGTGTCATTTACAAGCAGTTTCTTGAATCTTTTGTATGAATCCCTTTTCTGTCTGCTTGATGTTCTTTCACTCCTGTCTTTTAGATTTCCAGTGTGTCTCCTGAAAATATTTTTGGTCTCTGGTGTTCCGCGTTTTGAAGGGCTGACGGCATCTGTTCTTTGGGGTATGCGGGCGGTATTCTTAATCAGGCATATGCCGTAAATTAAATTTATTGAGCATTTTCTTGTCATCTGTGGAAATAATCTTCAGTTTGTACCATTCTGTCGCTGTATTTAGCTCAGCTTGTCTTTACGCTGAACTCTCGCAGATTCCTGGGATGACCCCTCCCCGGTCAGAGGGAACCACTCTTCTGATCTGGGGCTGAGTCCTGTTTGCTAAGTGGAATTTCAGATCCGAGTTCTAAACAAAATTAGCTTGTAATTTTCTTCTGTAATGCTGTCCTGACAGGTTTAGGCCACAAAACAAACCACATGGCTTTCTGTTTTATGTGAACATTGGTGGGGCAGCTGGTGTCACCCGTCAGGTCAGGCGAGGCCTGGGTGTGCCGCCCCCCCTCAGATGCTTGGAGTCTGGGCTTCGGTGAACTAGGAACAGGCTCAGCTTCTGGGCACCCTTCCCAGCTTCACCTCCCCCGGGGCAGATGCTCGATAAGCCAGCGTTCTGTCTCCCCCTCCCCTCTCCTGTTTGCCTGGTTTTTTTAAGGCGCAGAAGGCAGAATCGCCACCATACGTGCGCCACCTGATGCTGGGACCAGGTAGAAGGTGTTGCCGTTACTGTTCTGGGATGGGGTCGTTTCTAATAAATAGTCATTTCTTCTGCAAGGAGTGGCAAGTCCCGTGCTAAATAGAATCCAACTGCCCCCTGTAAACCTTCTCTCTTCATAAAGCCGTCTGGCAGAATGTTCTTTCGTTAGCAATATTTTTTTAAATATGTCCAAGTTTGGAGACATCTGATGCTCGCACCCCCCGGGAGGCGTGCCCGAGGCACTATTCAGCATCCACACTCAGTGGCGGACTGCGGGGAGAGGCGTATTTTCAACTGTAAATCTTGGCCCCTCACAGCTACGCCACCTGATTCATCACCCTCATTTGCTTTCACCCCGAAGAATGGGGGCCGCAAAGGGGCTCAGACTATGAGCCCTGGAGCCAGACTGCCTGGACGCGGGCCAGCTTTGCTGTGCCTCTGTTTGCTCGTCCGTGAACTGCAGGGATGGTAGCACCTGCTTGAGAGGGCTATTAGGTTTATGAGAGCTGATACCTGTAAAGCACTTAGGACGGTGACCAGTATTATGTACTTTTGAGCTGCTTCCATCCTCCTCCTCCTCATCATCATCATCTGAACCTGAAAGGCTCTTCACCCACCAAGAGAACTGACTTTTGGCCAAGAAGATGAAAGTCTCTCATCTCTGTTCCAGGAACATAAAAATAAGAGATTTTTTAAAAAATGTTTTCTTCATGTTTTATTTAAAAATTTTATTTTTAGGGGCACCTGGGTGGCTCAGTAGGTTAAGCATCCGACTCTGGATTTTGGCTCAGGTCATGATCTCAGGGTCCTGGGATGGAGCCCCGCGTGGGGCTCTGGGCTCAGTCAGTGGGGAGTCTGCTTGTCTCCGTCTTCCCACTGCCCCTCCCCCCACTGGCACACACACACTCTCTGAAATAAATAAATCTCCCTCTCTCTCTGAAATAAATGAATAAATCTTTAAAGAAGTTTTTAATTGTTCTTTTAAGTTTGTATTACTTGGTAACATACTAATATGTATTTATTATACTGAATAGTGGAAGAGTACATTTTAAAATAAAACGAAAATATCTTAAATTGAAAAACTAAAGAATCGGAATTTTTTTAATGCAAGTTGAAACTCTGCACCAGGAGCAGCATGGGAGTGCACAACAGCGAGCAGACGCAAGCAGGAGGCCTGGCCAGGCCCTGGCACAGGGACGGGGCACTGTGCTCTGGGATTGCTGCCCCAGCGGGGCCTGGCTCCAAACCAGCCTGGAGGACTGCAGCTGGACCCCCATGAAACCGGGTGGGATCGCCCTTCCCAGCAGGATGGAGGTGGAGGGCATGTGCCTACAGCCTGCCCTGGGCTGTAGTACGACACCCGCTTCTCAGCCGGAAGGCAAGCTAAGGAACACATAGGCACTCAGTATATATAAAGAACCCGCATAAACTAATAGAAAAACAATCCAATGTAAAAACAAGCAAAACAAATGGATAAATGATCTGAGGAAGAGAACTTGCAAACAACCCGTATGCAGGTGCATATTCAATCTCATTTGCAACCAGGTGAATGGACATTAGAATGTTGAGATTAAATTTCTCACCCATCATCTCAGCAAGAGTTATGATTATGTATTTTCTGGTGATAGGGGTGGTTCTTTCATTTTTGGTCAAGGTAGAGGGAGCGGTACAGTGAAAGAAAGAAAGAATAATGGCTCCAAGCTTAGAATCCCATAGACTGGGCTCAGACACTGACCTCACCTCTGAGGAGCAGGCTACCTCCTCCCACCTCAGTGGGAGTAACAGGAGCCTTGTTCATGGAGCGTGGCCAGGGTCACACCTAGCACAGGTCACAGCACGCGGTCAATTCCGGGAAGTGATGCTGGCAATTTCTCAGAGGGAAGTGTGGAGCATGAGTGAGGAAGGGCGGGTAGTGGGACCAGAGCCGAGCACCTAGAGGGGATGCCCGCTAATGACCTTGGGAAGGTCGATGAGGGACTCCCAGTAAAACAAGGTGGATTTTATGAGCAATTTTATTTCCTGCTCTTCCTGAATCACCTCCAAAATGGCAACAGAGGATGTCAAAGGCTATAAACACACGAGGACGAAGGGAACGTTAGAGCATTTGCCACGAGCTACCACGAGAACATAGAAGGAGGGAATGCAGATGAGATGAGGGGCAAGAGGCAGGCACGTGGGACCTGAGCGCCAGCAGAGGGGGAGGGAGGAGAAGCCCACCTTCTGGCAGAACCCTGGCAAGAGAGGAGGCAAGGTCTGGTCCTTCTGAGGTGGGGCTGAAGGTGGTAGGACTGCCTAAGGGGCATTTTGACCCCAGAGAGCAGGTGCCCAGCCGCCCCCGTGCTGACAGAAGAGGCTCGTGCAGGCAGCCTGGACCTGGGGTTGCCACACACAGGTGAGCATGGGGTTGGGAGGCCAGGCTGATGGCGAAGAGGAAGGGGGAGCCCTCACTCCCGTTGACCCACTGGCTCCATTCAGGCAGAGATTAAGCCCCCCTGGCCAGCACAGGAAAGACCTAATGGGTTGTGGGTTTCCCCCTCATCCCAGGAAAAGGGCCAAGATCCTGCCCACCCTCTCACCCCTGGGAGAGTTAATAAGCCTCTTCCCAGACACACTGATCTTTCCATTAGCCTTTCATCTGATTCTGGGATATAAAGAGAGCCAAAGTCAACCAAAATTCTGCCTTGGATGTGTTGGTCAGAGTCCAGGCAGGAAAAAGATGGCACCCTCAGCAGGATGGTTAAAAAAGGGACTGGCAGAAGAGATGGGGACAGAGTCTCAAGGAACTGACAAGGGTCATGGGGCGAGCAAGGCAGAGAGGCCACCACCCTGAGCCTTTGGTAGAAGGAGGCTCCCAACCGTGTGCTGAGCCACCAGGGAGGCAGTGGGAGAGGACAGACCTGCAGCTCACCCTCCGCCCTCCAGCTCCCTGTCTGCTCCATGGACCTAGGGGCCGGCCTCCCACGCCAGCCACGCCTTGCTTCTTACGTCCCCCATTATGGTTCTCAGGTTCACAGTTGTTGCTTAGAGCTGTAAGTCATTCACTCTCCACTGCGGGTACTGGTCCGCTGGGAATACACTGCAGTTTATTTATTCGTTCTCTTATTCATATACAATTGGTTATCTCCTTGTTCTGGCTGTTATAAAGAAACGCTTTTATGTTAATTGTGATACAGATTTACAAGAGTTTCTCTGGGGAATGATTGTTCATTCATAGGGTCTGCCCGTGTTTGACTTTACAAGGTGGTGCAGAATCACTTTCCAACGTTGTTGTTCCAACTCATAGCCCACCAGCTGTGTGTATGGACAAGTCAGTGGAAGATTCTGGCTCACAGCTTCTTCATCTCTGAAATGGGTGTAATCATGCTGGTTTTACATGTATGGTGAGGAATCACTCTTATCATTGAGGTGAAAGGATTTTTAAGCTACATAGGTGATAATGACAGCAGCGCGGTCATGTCCGAAAAATCGCATGCACCTCAGAAGAAGACATAAATGGTCTTAAAGGGAACTACACACCGTGTTCCTGGTTCACATTTGATGCTGTGTCACCGTTTGTTATTCCAGATGCCCATTTTGTATGGCTCACAAAGGAATTTTCACTTATTCTCTGTCTTTCCCCAGAATGTATAATAAGATGTGGCATCAGACCCAAGAAGCCCTCAATTCTTTGCTTGATAAAGAGTCTCAGAACATAATGGAATCACAAAACAATCAAGTTTTCATCTTCCAAATGTTAGCCACCTTCTACATAAAATACGTGCAGATCTTCAGAAACCTGGAGGATGTCTATGACCAGATCGTCCACCCGCAGAAGCGAATATTGATCCGAAAAATACTGGATGGAGTGATGGGTCGCGTCCTGGAACTGAAGAATGAAATGGTTGAATTGGAATTAACAGAGTTTCATTATTTTGATGACATCCTACAGGATCTAAAGTTGGCTCCTGTAAGTACTCAGCTTCTTCTCTTATCTGTTTCTTGTTATTTTAAATAAGCTGTGTAGGCCTCTAACCAATTTTCTACAGACTTTCTAGATATCTTTGCTGGTTGTTGTATGAAAAGTTGAAGCATTGCCCTTCAGCTGGGCCATACCCCCCTGGACAAGGATTGGGTCCCTGTAGTTTTGGGCACAGACAAGTCTTCACACAGCACTTGGGTCCATTGGACACTGAAGTTGTTGTCTTCCTTGTCACCATGGTGTCTGCCCAGATCTGTTGGCTGGAGTAGGCCAACTCTTCGATAAATATCCTGGGACACAAACCCTCCCGATTTCCCGTCGAAGTGCCCCTCCTTCTGTTTCCAAAGGAGATCTCCCTCTGGCCTCTGCTTCCCGTCATCTTCTTCAGGATGAGCAGCCTATCGGTTACCAGTTCTTTCTTCCCAGGTGGATGTGTCTCCTCCTCTGCTTTGGGTCTCTGGTGACTCGGGGATTTTTGGCAATAGGCCTTTGAGCCTCAGAAAAGAAGGAAGGGCATCCTCCCTCTCTGATGCCCTGGAGCTGTGAGCATTCGGCCCCACTGCTGCCCTCCCGACCTTCACTGCCAAACACCCAGGGTCTCTTCTCATGCTCTGTCTGGCTGAGTCTGCCAACGGCCAGTGGACAGACAGCTCACTTCAGTGTCACGGTCCTGGGAGCTCAGTCTTCATTTTGAAAGGAACATTTCCTAAAATAAAATTAAAAGAAGACAGTGTTCAGTTTTCTACCTGGCGTTTAATGCCTCTTCCTTTTGAAAATATTCGACATCCTATAAACCTTATGTTTCTTTCTGGAATAAACTTTCCTAACATTATTACTGCACTTCATTGGAATGGACTCTAAAGAATAATTAAAATGATTGGAAGTGTTGAAGATCACTCCAAAACTTTTGTGTTTATTGCGTTCATTTATAAGAGTGTGGATTAAAGCACCAGATTTTTTTGGATTAGGTGTACTTTACTCACCCATGTGAGTCTATCAGGAACACTTGAGGATAAACATGAAATCAAGTCATTAAGTCATATCTCTAAATTGAATTAATAAAGCAATATTAAATGTGTTAATTTAATGCCAAGACTATTAAATAATATTCTCGAAGCTAAAGAATAAGAAATTTGTGACGTTTATGTGGTGGTCTCCTTCAGATTTTCTGGTTCACCTGGTTCATCTTCTCAAAGGCCATGAGCACTGAAAGGGGTGAGGAATGAGGGACATTGTCCAGGAAACTTTCCTGGTGGGAGACTCTCAGCTGTGTTTTCCACCATTTCCGGAGGGTGCACGGTGAGCCACGTGATGACACTGGGGCACGTCCAACAGCAGCAGCATGGACCCCAGGAGCAGTGCTGGGCCAGGGAGACACATGTGTGCCATCTCTGGGAGCTCCTACTTGGCTCAGTTCTGCAACCCTGTCAGGGTTTCCGTGGCTGCCACCTGCACAGCACACAGCTCTCCATACAATATGACCCACAGTCCGACCACAGCTGGTCAGTTCGGGGATGGGTACTGGTGGCTGCACCAGGCAATCCTTCCCTCAGAGATTCTGAAACAGACAGAGACCAGTTCCTGTCTCAGAGTCTGAACTTCAGGCTCCCAAATTTGTGAGTAGTTGGAGCCTTTGTTCTCAGATGCTCAGAAGAATGAAGAAAGCTGCTCTTGAGAGTGAAAGAGGGAGAGAATGAGAGAGAGAGAGAGGGAGAGAATGAGAGAGAGAGAGAGAGAGAGAGAGAATAAGACAGACTCACCAAGAGGAGCAGAAGTAAATGGCAGAGTCCTGAAAGCATCTTCATTCCTGGACACATCCCTGCTGATAATGGACTCTCCACTCTGTTCCCGCCCTAGGTCCACGAAGTCTTAAGTCCATCCATCAGTGTCCCCTACAGCTAAACTAACTGGAAGAGTGTTTCTGCAGCCTGCCACCTAAGGAGCCTTCCTAATAGGTCCCTGATGTAGAGAAACGTGTCAGGAAGAGAAGGAGTTTCTCTGCCATAAGAAGTGTCCTTGATTCCACCCTGTAGAGGATGGAAACTCCATTAGTCTAAGAAAGTTTGGTTTTCAAAAACAGTTGCCACCAGTACTGATATCATCTCACCAAGTCCTAAAAAAGACACCCCTTCTTTAAGGGAAGGCCTGTTCAAAATCCCCTGGATGGGAGAGAGAGTGTGGAGAGTCATGCCAGAATGGGAAGAAGGGGAGCTGACCCTTAGGACCAGAACCTTAGCTTTCCTGGGCCAACTGGTCTACCAGAAGGCAGCCAGGAGTGTCTGAGAGTCTAGGACAGTGTTTCTCAATGGGGGTGCCCAAGGGCCCATCCCATACCCCCGAATAACACTTCTACACTCCCGATTGTTGAACTTGGGCTGGTAAACATTCGTGTGACCTCCACTAACTGAAATATTTGGTAATATGCATAAATGAAAAAACAGCAGTTGATATTTATGGCATAAAAAACAAGCTTCCTAATAAAGCAAATGAACTTTGTCAATAATTTTTGTAATTTGGGGTAATTTAGGTAAAAATAAAAACAAATTATTAGGGGAAAAATGTGATCATTTACATGCAAGTAATGATACTGACGATAACTTACGAGATTGAATTCAAAGATCTCTACATCACAATGCTTTGCTATCTTAGTGTGCATTATTATTTTAGGTAGGCTGAGATGATATTATGTTTCTTTAAAGACCTTAAGTTATCATTAGTCAATGGAGGATTAACTGATATGGGTTCTCAAGTTTTACTGTAATGATTAAAACAAGGGCCGTGATGATGGTTTTTCCTTGTGACTTTGTGTCTCCTCAATGGTAATGAATTCTCTTCATGCCACCGGCCTCATCACGTCTTAAATCAGGATGGGAGGCAAAGCGCGTCTCTTTGATGTGCAGTCCTTACTGTATAGCTTAGGTGGATTTGAGTCCTGGAATTGTGACAAAAGTGACAGTTGTGACCAATTGTGACAAAATTGTGCCCTTGGGCTCATTCTTTCTCTTCTCTAGCAACAATTAGATATTCCCATTCCCAAGTATTTTTTGAAGGAGAAGCTGGAAGTCATCAAAGGAAGAGAGAAAATCCTTGCTCAGATATTAGCCAACACTGGACTAGATATACCTGAAAAGGTTCGTATATCATTTTAATAAACATCATTCCATAATCTATAAAACCTTTTTCCGTGGCTCCTGATTGGGTGAGAGACAGATTATTTCCAGTGGGAAGAAAGCAGCACCTGCCCCTCGTGCTAGTCAGTATGTATGTGTAAAAAGTTGCTTACCTTGGGGACATATTTTTGATGATTCATGACCATTATTTTTCAAGAACTTAGAAATAGAGATCAAAACATAATGCTTTGTTGGTTAAGTCAGTATCTCTGAGACTGAGTAGATTTATCAGCTCAGTTTGATTTTTTGTCTCAGACCCCTAACCTAAAGTCAGAAGCGGAATGTTTTCATATGAAATAATTAAGTGTTAAGCTAACCCACTGATCAGTCTTTCCCTTCCAGACTTTTCCGCACGGCCCTGCCACATCCACCTTCTGGCAAGTTTGCTTGTGCATTTCAGTGGCCCTCGCTTCCTCCCGTGTATCCGTGCCTCACGGCCCTGGCTGCTCATGGCCCACGCAGGGAGGCAGCAGTTGGCCATCCAAGCTGGGACGATTCCAAGTGAAAGGGGCACTGTCAGGCACTGTCAGTAACTATGCTGGGCAACAGGTGTGGCCCCAGTGCCCAGGGGAAACCGGCACGTGTGGGCTTCCTACAGACAGGCCCCGTTGGGTGTTGTCAGCCTGGGTCCTGGTGCCAAGGAAGATTCCAAGCGCAACCAGAATGACAGTGGGCCAGGAGCAGGACGTGCCCTGTCTGCCTGCCGCAGGAAGTGCTTGGGGTGCTCTGTGCTCTCTCTTGGCCGTGGACATGCTTCATGCTGCATAGAGGGCTCGCTCTTCTCCCTACAGCCCTGCCTGTCGAAATGGTACTCATTCAGCAGAGCCCGACTTGATGCAGCATCCCTCCAGAAACCTGAGCCAACTAACTCAGGACCGTCTCTCCTTCCTTCACCTCTCCCCTAACTGACTGATCCTCCCTCTGCATTGCATCCCTGGAAGTCCATCCCGGGGCTGTTTCAAGTAGGGGTCATCACCATCCTTGCACCTGTTAGTGCCTTCAGTCCATGCATCATTCAGAAGGAAGCACTCAGCACTTTACCCAGCTCCCCCAAGGTATCTCCTGGCACGAAACATTGACAAGCAGTGCAGAATTCACAGAGGATTTTATAGGGGAAATGGGGGAGGGCGATGACGTTGTACACGCTATGGTCAAACCCTAGAAATTCCTCTTTGCTGTTTCCCCTTTCTGCTGTCCCTCTTTGCTGGTGCAGGGTCAGCCGCAAGGAGCTTTCTCTCTCAGCAACAAGCCCTAGCTGGCTCCGGTAGGTAGAGCCGTCCATCTCCATCCCAGCCCCAACTTCTGATGGGCCCAACGTCAGCAACACGCCGGGCTCTGGGCAACAGCCCTTGACATCTGTGTGACTATCTCATGCCCTCCGGTGCCTCGCGAGACCCCACTTTCACCTCAAGCTGCTTATTTCTTGAAGATATATGCAATATATATCCCAAAAAGAATTTTAAGAGGCAAATATTGCCGTCTAGTCCTACATCTTTAATGCTTAGTATTTATTCTTGGGCCCTCCATAAGTGTTCAAAAATGAGAAGACCACTCAAACCCTCAGAAGTCTTCGATAAGGGCTGTAATGATTTTCAGAATGACAATATGGAATCTAAAGGAAATAATAATACAGTAATAACTAATATCTGCAGGACACCTACTATCTGCTTAAGCACTTGTACATACCTTGTGCGGTTCAATGCCGACATGATATTCATTCTACTCTAACCTTATGAGGGCATTATTGGAAATGTGCACTCACTGAAAATTTGAAGTGATGAGATCTCACTGAAAACCAAACTCTGAGGAATTGTGATGTGAAAGAGCCCCCTCAAAGGGAACCAGGGCACCACACTGGGGAGCAGAGGGTGCTCTATTGGGAAGAGGGTCAGTCTTGGTTCAAATTGGCTCTACCCCTTACTAACCCTGGGAGCTCATGTCAATTCTACTTCTTCTGTCAGCCTCGGTCTTCTTAACTCTTGACTGGTCACAAAAATACCCACTTTGGGGGTTGCTTTGTGAATTTGCTGAGATTATCTATGAAAAGCCTCTGGCTTCTGTAGGGTCTCAGTAAATGCCCCTTTCCTTTCCTTGCTCCTTCCTGGGCACCATCCCCCCACCCCGGGGCATTACAGAGAAGACATCATCGTGGGAAACAGGGGCCCTGGTGATGAATCAGAACACCCCACACTTGGGACCTCAGGGTCTGGCACCATGTTCTGATAAGGTGGCCACGCTGCCCTCTGAGACCTTGGCAAGGATTCAGCCCATGAGTGGGTGTTTTCTGATTCAGAAGGCCTCTCCTTTCTGCCTCTGTCCCTGCATGAGGCTCCACCCAAGCCAGGCCACATCCCCAGCTTCTCCCGAGCCCCAAGGACCACAGAGAGCCTCACCCCTGAGCCCACTCCGAGCTCTCGCAGGGCTCCGGATACCCCAGCAACCTTGCTCTTGACCATCCTCAGGAAATGGCACAGCCCCACACCTGGCTTTGCCTCCCCCTAGCCCACCTGAGGTCCCCAAAGGCAGCATTTTACCGCATGAGCCCTGGTGTTCCTCCAGTCATAAATTACCCATCCCATTTGGATGTTTTGAAATGCAAATTTGTAAGCACTAGAAGACATTTCACATATAAATTGAATACTCCTAAAATGATTTTAACATTACTCATATTTACTAGATGATCCTGTAATGGATTTTGAAGTCAGCGTTTTACCTCATATGTGTTTTACATTTTAAGTTCTCATATTAAAGATGTGCTTTTAATTTATATGTTTCTACTATTAAGTTCATAAAACATGAATAGCAATTTTGAGTTTTATTAAATCTATTTTATTGGCATTCCTGGTATAATTTGCTGCCAGCCTAAAATATTGTGGAACTAATTGGTATTTTGTTCGGAATGGTAAAGGAAAACTTATGGGGTTTCTTAAATCGGGGACCAGAGCAAGAGCCATGGCATGTTATCAAAATTCACATAATTAATGAGTGAGATGGTTAGTATTAAACCACCGTCAGACTCTTTATCAACAGTTTGGGAACTCCTAGCAAGGTTGTGTTAGAAGTACGCACATGATGTATATGGGATCAACTGATAGAGTTAACAGGTTTAAACATTGATTTAACTTGAAAGTTTTCACAGAAATACACCGTAAAGGGCATCCCCCTAGAAGAGGCTGTTAAACTAATCCAGATCGCTGAGAGAGCGCGGCAAGGCCGCCTAAGAGCAATGTTCATGAAGCAGATCTTCCTCCAAGAATACAGAGCAAAGCAAACCAGGATACTTGGCGAGAAAGTTGCTGACATGGGAGCTGCCGTGCTGCAGATTCAGAAGGTGGGCATGTGGTGCTCATGGAGCTGGGGACAGGTGTCTTGACACAGCTAGAGATGCACGCCAGGGCCAGGGGTGGGCTCTGAAACCCCAAATCCCAAAATCCTACCTTGAATGGAGCTGGATTTTAAATTCCAGAGAGATTTTTTAATCTTACCCTGGGGAAACCGTTAAGCTTGGTCGTGTTTTTTAAGATTTTATTATAAATAGGTATAAAATGCAGGGCATTTGGTTCAGATATTTTTAAAGGTCATTGATAATTGTTGGAAAGAATGTGGCTCAAAATTCATTGAGGATTTATATCCTCAGTGTGTATTCACACACAGACGTAACCACAGAAAGGGAGCAAGGGTCCACACCTGCTGGCTTGCGCAGGTGTGTGCTGTTCACAACGCCAGTGACCGTCACTAAGCACCAGAACATCGATGTTCCCTTTAGAAGTGGGCCTGAGCTTTCCTCCCCAGATGAGCACCGCGGGTTTGCACCCATCTGTTCCCAAATGGAGGCTAAGGTTGCTTGCAGGAAAATGCGCAAGCTGGCTTGTGGGACAGAAGGGAGGGAAGGAAGGCACCGGGACACAGACCCCAGCCAAAAAGTCAGGACTCCATCCCTGTTGGGCTCTGAATGGGGATGGAGGGTGGGCAGCGGGAGTGGGGGGAGCGGAGGCCCCCATAACAGACTGTTTCCTTTCAAGTTTCTGTGAAGATAGGAAGTTGTAAACAAGCATCTGAGTTCAGAGCTGAGTTTTATCAGTCTTGGACATGACCATGTTCTATTTCCCCACATTTTAATGACAATTTTTCTCTTAAAACTATGAAGCACCACGCTTAGATCTAGCCCCACACTCCTGAAATCTGGAAGTTTCTCTTGAAGACACCCAGGTAGGGGACTCTCGCTAATGAGACTTATAACCATTTCTTCTCTCCCGGCCCCACCTACCTTTATGGACATAAAACACTGTGCACATTTGAGATATATGACATTATGATTTGATAGACATATATATTGCAAAGCAATTATCACCGTAAGCATAATTAAAACATCCATGACATCACATAATTACCAGGTTTTATAGTGAGAGCACTTTAGATCAACTCTCTTAGCAGCTTTCGAGGACGCAACGTGGAGCTGGCTACAGTCACCATGCTGTGCGTAGACCCCCAGAACTCATTCATCTGAAAACTGGAAGTTTGTACCTTTTGGCCACTTTCACCCATTTTCCTCACCCCCCAGCCCCTGACAATCCCGAATCTACTCTGTTTCTAGAGGTATTTTAGATTCCACATCTAAGTGAGATGATATAGTTGTCTTTATCTACGACCTTTTTCACTTAGCATGCTGCCCTCAAAATTCATGCATGTTGTTACAAATGTCAGGATTTCCTTCTTTTTTTGGCTGAATACTATTCCGTTATGTGTATATACCACACTTTTTTATCCATTCATCCATCAACTGATGGGTTGTTGCCATGTCATATCTATTGTCAGTAATGCTGGGATGAACATGAGGGTGTAGATATCTCTTCAAGACAGTGATATCATTTCCTTCAGATATGTATCCAGAAGTGGAATTCCTCGGTCATAGGGTAGTTCTGTTTCTAACTTTCTGAGGAACCTCCATGCTGTTTCCACAGTGGCTGTACCAGCTTGCATTCCCACCAACAGTGTAAGAGGGTTCCCCTTTCTCTGCATCCTCGCCAACACCTGTTGTCTCTTGTCTTGTGGATGAGAGCCCTTCTGACAAGGGTGAGGCTGTCACTGGGCCAGCAGTGGGCTGTGCAGTTAGCCGATTTGCTTCCAGATCTTGGGCGAGTATGGATCCTGTCCAGTCCGTGGGTGGACGGGACTGCCTCAGGCACCACTTGTCCAGCAGGGCAGCGCCGGAACAAGGCTCCACAGTTGGGTCCTCAAACAGCGAATAGGCCATTTCTGTGGTTTGTTCTTTCTTTAAATTTTTTGCCTGTGATCACAGAAGAAAAAATACTCCATCAGCGCACACACATGCACAGCCTTGACTGTGTAGTCATTATACCATTTGAAATGGGAGAAAGGGTAGGATGGTGTTCTCTTTATTTTTTTAATGTATTAGACAAGTAACCATTTCTTTGCTTTTAGGTTTGGCGAGGTTTCCATCAACGTAGGAAAACTGAGAAACAGAGAGAGGAGGAGATGATATTCCTGGGTATGGTAAGTCCTCTTGCAGACAGGATATGCATGTGGGTTTCTTAAGACTCGTGTCTCCGTTAGAGAGTTTTTGTGCGACAAGAGGAAAGAAAAATAAATGACCAGTGACTTAAGAGAATGGAATTGCCTGTCCTGTACAGAAGTGTGTCCCGGGCCGGGGTGGGAGGGCCACACAGAGCGGGTGTGTGTCCGTTTACACATCTCTGTTAGAATACGTGGACCGCCCCAGAAGTGGAAACAAGCTATGAGCTGCTCACAGTATACCGTTCCCTCGGGATGTCCACTCTGCCCTCTGGTAGCATTTGCGCTCAAGAGAATGGGTTTGCCCCGAGATAGTTGGCTGTTTTCCGGTGATCTCCACAGTGATCACTGAATCAGAGTTGAAAGGGTACCTATTAGGTGTCGGTTGCCATGTGACAACATTACCACAATTTAGCAGCTTGCATACAAACTCATCACCTCAGTTTCTGTGGGTCAGTGGTCTGGGCTTAGCTGAGTCGTCTGCTCTCGGGATCTCGCAAGACTGAGGGCCGGGTGTCATCGGAGACCCAGCTGGGGTAAAATCCACTTCCAGGCTCGTGTGCTTGTTGGCAGGACTTAGTTCCTCGTGGGCTGCAGACCGAAAGCCTGTTTTATTTTGCCAGTTGTTTGCTGGAGGCGGACCCCAGCTCCACATTGGGTGGGCCTTTCCATATGGCCACTTGCTTCATCAGAGCTGGCAAGGGAGAGGGGGGATGCCTACAACCTCATGCAATGACCGTGGAAGTGGAGTGTGTCACCCTTGCCCTGTTCAGGTCAGTTAGAAGCAAGCACGGTGTGCACCAGGAGGTGGGGGTCTTTGGGGACCATCTTAGGGTCTCTGTCTGTGCAAAGGAGTTCTCTGCATTGTCTGCAGCATCAGGCCAAAGGCCTCGGAGGAGGTCTTGCTTGTTCTCTGCCTGAGCCCCTCCTGAACGTAGAGCCCCTGCTTCCCAGGGCTGCCCATTCTGTTCCATTTTAGAAACTTCTTCCTTTCATTCACCCGAAGCCTGCCTGCCTATAGGTCCCGCAGCCTGGCTGTGGTTCTGTCCCCGGTGGCAACTCAGAATGTGTCTGCTTTCCCGTCACCTGACGAGCCTTCAAGGATTTGAAGGCAGCTCTCGGGCCCCCTATGCCAACTCTTCTCAGAGCCAATTACCACCACCGATGGTGACCATTCTGGGGAGTCTTGCTTTCTGACCTGCTCACTTTCTCTAAAAGGACATTACAAGTTAAAGGAAAAGCAAGCCTGTGACCATATTGAGTTGGTGCGTTGGAATGATCTACATCATTCAGGGCTCCATGTTTAACACCAGGATAGGAACATCACACCAATAATGTTGATAGACACAGTGACCGAGTCTTTGAAAATGCTGATCAGGTACCAAACTCTGGTGAGGATAAAAGAAGAAAAGAAAACACAAATATGCTGTATATAACCACAGATACCAATATGTTAAAAAAAAAAAAAACTATTAGATAGTGTCATGAGTGACTAAGGTCATAAACTAGAAAACACTGAACGGAGAAGATTATCTAGGGAAGTCTGAATATCAAAGCAGACCTAAGAAGTAAATTACCTCAATAAACCAATCACTGCAGCGATTGCTGGAAATGTTTTCTGAGCGCCGGGGTTCGTTTGGGTCCTGTGAGAGGTGGGAGCCTGGATGGAGTTGGACACGCAAGACATTTACTGGGAGGAAGGGAAGGAGGGGCAGAGAGGCGAGGGGAGCTCTGCCGGGAGGCAGGGGTTACGAGGCGGGGGCACAAGGCAGAGGGATGGGGGAGGAAGAGCCAGCGCGATGGCACACTTCCAAAACAGAGGCTGACACCATCTTTACAAACCTATGCTGATAAAAGAAATGGGGATGTCCAGTCTGGGCAAGGACCCAGGGACCAGGGTAGCGCGGGGACCACTCGCGGGAGTTTAAGTGAGCGCCCACCCGCCTGAGGAGAGTTCGTCTCATCACACACCTTCAACCGCTTGTGGCTGTTTGCTCAGAAATCCCGACCCTTTGCAACTTCTTTGCTGAAAAAAAAAAGAAGAAAGTGAACAAAATTTACAATATATCAATATTCACATCAGGGTAGTTTTATAATTGTAGATTGATGCCCAGAAACAGTTCACACAGTTAAAACACCCCATTGTATATCTTCAGAAGTGAGGTTTAGAGTTTCTCTGTATGGTGCAAAATGTAAAGTATGAACATGTGATCCTATTTTTATACCTTTATTTATTCTTGCATTTTTCTATAATCAACGTGTATTTTATGTCTAAAAAATTACAGATAAAATACATGTTCGAAATTGTATCAGAGGGGGAAAAAGATAGGAATCGTGGCTTAAACAATTTGTAGCTTTTTTAACTGAAACTTCGTGTAAGAGAGCTGAGCTCTAGGAAACAAACTGAGGGCTGCTGGAGGGGTGGTGGGTGGGAGTACGGGGTCACTGGGGGATGGGCGTTAAGGAGGGCACTTGATGGAATGAGCACTGGGTGTTATATGCAACTGATGAATCACTACATTCTCCCCCTGAAACTAATACAAACAAAAAGAAACTTTAAAATTAAATAATATCAAATCACAATACCTTTTCCCAAATCTGTGTACTTCTTATCAAATGTGTATCTCAATAGGACAAAAATCAGGGTTTAAGATTTTTCCTTTCTTTCTGATTATAACAGTTAATACGCTCAGAGAATACTGTAAGAAGTGAAAAAAAAGTCATTTATACTTTTTTAACCAGTGTAGGGATGTGGGTTTCATTATATTACTCTTTTCTTCCTATATATAAGTTATATTTGCCAATACTGCACTTCATCTTCTCACTTTTAGAGAAATCAAGTGGTCTCCAGTGTGTGGTTGATCCAAGAGCAGGGAGGCAGTCAGCTCCGTCATTCTGTGATCAGTGATAAACATGTCCCTTGAAACTGTGGTTTCCCATCAGGTCTTCTTGTACAAAAATATTCGGTGTTCTTTCTGAGATTTTAGGATTTAAAAACATTAAAGGATCTTATCAGTGATATTGTTAAATATAGAAAAAATGTAATTCAGTCCCATATTCAGGATATTGCCATGTCACTTTCATCAATTTGATGATGGCACATTCTGAATAACAAAGGGTGTGGCGAATACACCTGGTCTTGGAACGTCTTATAGCTCCCTTCGGCCCCGCATCCTGGACCACTCCACCCACAGCTGTGACCTCGGGGCACTACCTCTGTTGTCAGCACAGAATTTAAAACGTGAATTATTTTGCTTGAGGAAGGAATTTAGCTCCATGTTCCAGAAACTTGGAAGAGCATAGTCTCCTGGTGAAGGGGCATGGGACCGCTGCACGTGTTTTTATAAAGTCTCAGTTGTGACGGCCCGCCTTTATTGTCCACAAAAATATGGTAAATCATACCTGAGTATGCCTATATGGTTTAAGAAACACCTTGATCTTGATCACCTACATTCTTAATTTCCCTTTGATCTTTGAATTTAAAAGATAAGTCAACATTTATTTTTGGGATTGAGACCCCTACGGACTGCAGCCCATCCTGTACCGTGCTGTTGTTGGGGCACGCTGTCAGAGCCACATGGGCAAGTGGTCTCTTCCAGCTATCGCAGATTATATATATATATATATATTAAGTAGGCTCCAAGCCCAGTGCAGAGCCTAAGGCAGGGCTGGAACTCATGACCTTGAGATCAAGACCTGAGCTGAAATTAAGAGGCAGACACTTAACCAACTGAGCCACCAGGCGCCCCGGAGATTTTTATGATTTAACACATTCACTGGGTGGCATATTATTTAGTCATAAAAAGAAGGAAATCCTGGGGCACCTGGGTGACTCAGAGTTAAGAGTCCACCTTCGGCTCAGGTCATGATCCTGGGGTCCTGGAATCGAGCCCCACATCGGGCTCCCTGCTCAACGGGGAGTCTGCTTCTCCCTCTCCCTCTGCTCCTCCCCATGCTTCTGCTGTCTCTCTCTCTCTCTCTCTCTCTCTGCTAAATAAGTAAAATCTTTAAAAAAAAAAAAAAAAGAAGGACATCCTGTCGCATGCTATAGCATGGGCAAACTTGAGGACATTATGTTAAGTAAAATAAGCAGTCACAAAAAGATAAATACCATGTGATTGCACTTATCTGAGACACCCACAGTCGTCAAACTCAGAGAAACAGAATAGAACAGTGGCTGCCAGGGGCTGAGGGAGGGGGAGAGGGCAGATGTTGCCCAGTGGGCATGGAGTTTCGGTTTTACAAAATTAAAAAGTTCTACAGATCTGTTTCACAACAATTTGAATATCCTTAACTCTACAAAACTGTATCTTCAAAAATGACCAAGGTGATAAATTTTGTTATGGCTTTTTTACCACGATTATATATATATATATATATTTTTTTTTTTTTAATTCACCAGGACATTGAAATGTATACTGAAGTGGTTCTATAAGAATCATGAATATTCGCTAGTGGTCAAAAAATACAAATTAAAAATTAAAGGAGATACTGTGTTTCCTTGAATCTTGATGTCATCGATTGTAAGATGCATCATGATTTTTACGAGAAGACACTGTCAAATAAGCCAAAACACAACTTTAGTGTAAGACATATCCATCCCTATTTTCAGATACATTAAACTAAGAAAACTATGCGTCTTAGAATTGGTGAGAATAGGGTAAGTTTTTTCAATCTGATAAGCAAACAAAAAAAGGTTTTTTCAAGTTGTGATTATTGACAAGAGTGAGAGGAGATGCTGTTTCTCCTACACGAGTTACATCAACTGGGCCTTTCTAAAACACTGTGAGCAAGGTGACCCAAGTTCATTAACATATTTAAATCTCTTCGCCCCCACGCTCTATTTCTGTCTTAAGGAAATCATCAGAACAGAGATTTATGTGCATGGGAGTTTCCTACAGAGTTCTTTTTAATAATGAAAAATTGGGAATAAAACCCATCAGAGTAGGGATGTAGTTCCATAAGTCCTGGTGGACCTACAT